TTTAGTTTTATTTTTACATTTTTCGGTCTTTTTCGTCGCGCTGTGATGACGTCACATACGCGATTTCGTCGACCGCGCTTTTGTGGAACGCGCTTTTGACGGGTCACGGTATAAAGAGGTACCTCATTTTGCTGCATATAAGAGTTGCAAGTTAGAGCTCTAACTTGGATTATTCTGGAGCTCAGAGAAAGGAATGATGTTTAGCAATAGCAATAGCAATAGACTTATATACGCTTTACAGTGCTTTACAGCTCTCTCTAAGCGGTTTGCAGAGTCAGGCTATTGCCTCCAACAATCTGGGTCCTATTTTACCCACCTCGGAAGGATGGAAGGCTGAGTCAATCTTGAGTCGGTGAGATTTGAACTGCTGCTAGCAGTCAGCTGAAGTAGGCTACAGTACTGCACTCTTAACTACTGCGCAACTTTAGATCTACCGTATTTTTCGGACTATAAGATGCACCAGTGTATAAGATGCACCACGATTTCGACGAGGTAAATAAGAAAAAGTTTTTGTCTTCCCTGCCCCCCCAGGAGCACTCTGCAGGCTTCAGCAGGGTTGGGGTAAGGCAAAAATGCCCATGTTTTTCACCAAAACGGGGGCATTTTTCCCTCCCCCCAGCCCGACTGAAGTCGGCAGAGTGGGGGAAGGTAAAAAAAACCTGTGTTTTGGTGAAAAATGGCTTGTTTTTCACCCATTTTTCACAAAAATGTGATGCGGGGGCAGGGCTTCCATTGGCCCAAAAATGTGATGCGGGGGCAGGGCTTCCATTGGCCCAAAATGGCTGTATTTGGTGTATAAGACGCGCCAACATTTCCATGCTCTTTTAGGGGGGAAAAGGTGCTTCTTATACTCCAAAAAATATGGTAATCATGTCCCCTTCCAGTATTCCTAACCAGAATGGCCAACCTGACTGGAAGATTGCTTATGTATATTGAGCTTGCTGCTTTGTGTCTTAGGACGCCTTATTCTCAGAGAAAGTGAATGCCTACGAGAAAGAGCTAGAGGAGAACTACCAGGAGCAGCTGAGGCTCTCTGCAGAACAGAAGAAAACCATGATGGAGTCCCTTGCAGACCATATAAGCCAGGGCCGAGCAAAGAAACGGCAACGGAAAGGAGGAGGAGGAGGAGGTGAGACAGTGTGTACATTTGGTTATTATTATTTTTCATTTGGAGTTTATCAACCCTGAAACCATTGGACAGGTTGGACCAATCCTGAGTCATTTTTTCATTGTTAAACGAAGGAAGTGCTTAAGCAGAGTAGGATGTCACAAATGAAAGGGAATATACATGTCCCAGGATAATGTTGCAGGATCCAATCTGGGTCGGTCACCGGGATCAGAGGTTTCGTCTTCAAGCTTTTGGACTCGTGGTGGAGCCCATCTTCAGGGAAATCTCTCTAGCAGAGTGTCTATCCTCTAGCATACTCTGCTAAAGAGAAGGTGACCAAACTATATTGGATCCTGCAGACTATGGTATCCCAAGGATTCTGTTCGAAGTGTCTACATGTTTCTGTCCCCAGACTACCTTCCTGAGATTGACAGCTCTTACTGTGCTTCCCCCCAAAAAAGGCCTGATTTTTTAAGCATGCACCTACCCCCCAAAATAAGCCCTAATGAAGGTGGTGGATGTGGCCAGCAGATGGTGAGGTGTGGCCAGAAGGAGGTGGCAAGTGCATGTGGGATGTCGGTGTTTGGCAGTAGTCACAGCCCATGCAGCACAGGGAGTTCCCAGTTCAACCAGCAGACGGAGGCGTCTCTCGGCTTTCCCATGTTCCTGCGTGTGTCCTGATCACCTGCCTCCCCCGTGCTTCTGCCTCTGCTGCTTGGACAGAGAATCAACTCACCTGTGCTGTGTGGGCTTTGCAGTCCCAGAGTGTGCTAAGGGGCCAGCAGACAGCAGCTGGTCCGTCAGTCCCTGCATGTTTGCTGTCTCTTGTTGGGTGCCCAGCTGGATTGATCACCCTGAAACCGTGTGTTCCCTGAAAATAAGCGCTAGTGCTTATTTTGGAGCCCCCCCAAAATATAATACTGGATCTTATTTTGGGGGAAACACGGTAGCACTATGAGCTATAATATCCACACCCAGGAGCATTTTTTTAACCCATTGCAGCAGTAGATCCAACATTAAATTTAGCTGTTCATATTTACTACTAATAATACCATAGAACCTCCTGCTCTGCAGTTCTGTCCATGCTTTCTCCTATTTAATGTCACCATTGCTAGCCTTGAATTTACAGTGACAGACAGCAGGGCATACAAAGAGGAATTTAATTTATGGCAAAAGTAACAAATTATTATTTTTCAATATTTGATTGAAAAAACCTACACTACGTAGATCAGGGGTGTCACCAAGGCCCACAGGCTGGATCCTGCCCATGAGGTGCTTAGATCTTGCCTGTGGGGCCGCCCTGGAAACAGCGAAAGACTAGGCCGTGGTGTCTCTGCCAGCAAAAGTGGAGCTCGGGAGGGCTGCTGCGTTTTCTCTGGCGGAGTACTCGGGCCACCCCAGGGACCCCCGACACGAGCAATGTCGAGCTGGCCACTCCACCCACCCCGGCCTCCTGAAGTCAAACACAATCCTGATGCGGCCCTCAACGAAATCGAGTTTGACATCCCTGATGCAGGTAATCCACTAGTTACAACCCATCACAGTTGTAACGTGATTTTTTTTGTGGTGGTCATTAAGCAAGCAGCTGTGATCATTAAACAAACACCAGGATCATTTACTGTGGACACAGTTTTGCTGAAAACTGGAAGTAAACGTCACTTCTTGGCAAAACTGTCATAAAATGGAGTCACATGATCTTGAGGCTGTTGCTGAGCATTCAAAATGGGGCCATGTGACAGGCATCCATTGGAACTTTGAATCCAAGTTGTAAATATCTCCCCAGGTAGGTCTTATCAGAGCTTTGAATGGTTGCTAACCAACTGGTTGTATGTTGAGGACTATCTGCGTACAGAGAAAAATGTAATTGTAGAAATTTGAGGGACTTTGGTTCAGCAGCTGTATCCTGAGGAGAGATGGGGGTTGGTTTTTTTAGCCTATTGTATCTGGGCAGGAATCTGTTCGTTTACTGAAGACATTCAAAAGAAAAATTAGATCGCCTCTTCTTCCCTTCCTAGATCTCCTTGCAAAGCCTGCAGAGTCTGGTTCCTGTTTTGTATTTCCCCGAGAATCAATGGTGATCCAACTCCCCACTGCACGGAGTCAGATAACTCAAGAAGAAGCAGTAGACTGGCATGTGGCCTCCCAGCTCTGGCCTTATGCTGGACAAGAGCTTCATGAAATGCGCTACCTCATTTTCCGGGACCTTTGGGAACGAGGTTATTATGTCACAACTGGGAGCAAATTTGGAGGTGACTTCCTCGTTTATCCAGGTGAAGGCAGATTTCTCAGAGATTTTACAAGAATGTTTGTGTGTGGGAACAGTACAGGTGGTCCTTGGCTTACAACAGTTCGCTTAGTGACCGAAGTTACAACGGCACTGAAAAAAGTGATTTATGATTGTTTTTCACACTTATGATCATTGCAGCATCCCTGTGGTGATGTGATTTACATTCGGATGCTCGAAGACTGACTCACATTTATGACGGTTGCAGTGTCTTGGGGTCATGTGATCACTTTCTGCAACCTTCTAACCAAAGTCAATGGGGAAGCCAGATTCACTTAACTGTATTACTAATTTAACAAATGCAGTGATTCACTTAACAAACATTTTGGGCTCAATCGTGATTGTAAGTTGAGGACTACCTGTATTGTGTCTGCTGAGGGAGCCTCTTCAAGTGAAGAATGATGACTTAAACTTTATATCTGTGAGGAAGTGAAAGCAAATATAGCTAAACGTGTCCCTTCATTGTTGTCTGTGGCCTAAGTTTGAAGCCACGTTACCCTGGGCTTACCCCATATTTTATGCTATAAATCAATGATTGTAGCACATAGGGATTATAAACCAGAACAGGCTTAAGATAGGCTTAAGCTACAGAAAGATCTTGACAAACTTGAACATTGGGCACTATCTAACAAAATAAAATTCAATGGTGGAAAAAAGTAAGGTTCTACATTTAGGCAAGAAAAACAAAATGCACAGGTATAGAGTAGGTGGTACCTTGCTCAATAGTAGTAACTGTGAGAGGGATCTTGGAGTCCTAGTGGATAATCACTTAAATATGAGCCAGCAGTGTGCAGCAGCTGCCAAAAAAGCCAACACAGTTCTAGGCTGCATAAACAGAGGAATAGAATCAAGATCACATGAAGTGTTAATACCACTTTATAATGCTTTAGTAAGGCCACACTTGGAATACTGCATCCAGTTTTGGTTGCTGCAGTGTAAAAAAGATTTTGAGACTCTTTCTAGAGTGCAGAGAAGAGCAACAAAGATGACTAGGGGACTGGAGACTAAACATTAGGAACGGTTGCAGGAACTGGGTATGTCTAGTTTAATGAAAATAAGAACTAGGGGAGACATGATAGCACTGTTCCAAGTGGGTTGCCACAAAGAAGAGGGAGTCAAACTATTCTCCAAAGCACCTGAATAAGAAGCAATGGGTGGAAACTAATCAAGGAGAGAAGCAACTTAGAACTGAGGAGAAATTTCCTGACCATTAGAATAATTAATCAGTGGAATGATTTGCCTCCAGAAGTTGTGAATGTCCCAACACTGGAAGTTTTTAAGAAGATGTTGGATAACCATTTGTCTGAAATGGTATAAGGTTTCCTGTCTAGGCGGGGGGGTTGGACTACAAGACTTGCAAGGTCCCTTCCAACTCCGTTATTCTATTCTAACAAGCTAAGACAACCACATGATAGCTTATTACAATGTTACTGTCATACTATATGTGAGTTGTACAGGCAGGAAAAGTAAAAAGGATATTGGAGTGGGAATGGGGACTTCACAAACATGGAGTGAAATAGCCTCCCTCAAAACTGCTGCAATCCCATCTTCCTGAATTTAGTATTCTCCAGATATATGAGACTTTATAATCTAGCAGACAAGATTGTCAAATAAAGGCATTTATAATAGGTGATTCCCCAAAGCTCATGTGTTAAGGAATAATCTGCCTCTTTTTTCATTAATTTAACTATCTCTGGATATTATTTGTTGCCTATTTAACTGCCCCTATCCCAAAGTTTTTTAAGAATGAGTTTGCGCATGCAGACTATAAAGAAGTCCTCAATAAACTGTTCCAGCAATTTTCTGGCAGGGCAAATGGCTATTAAGAACAATTTTTAATTTTTCTATTGATGAGAAGTACATAAAACAGGTTTTCTTTCGTACTACCTAATGAGCAGATGTTGACGCCATGCTGAGACCAGCCTTACCACTTTGCTAACTCTTCCCTCTCCTCTTCATAGGCGATCCCATGAGGTTCCATGCCCATTACATCGCGCTCTGTTTTTCCAAAGATACCCCCATCTCTCTCTATGACATCATCAGTGCTGGACGCCTTGGCACCAACGTCAAGAAGACCGTCCTGCTCTGTTCAGTGGAACAAGAAGGGACTGTAGCATATACATCCCTACAATGGAGTGGGATGCAGTGAGAACAGGGAGAAAAGGCTTGGATCCTAGGATTGCCATTTTCAACAGTGGTGAGGTCTGGAATTGTTAGGGTGTGCTTGGACTGTTTTTTGTCAGGACAGCCTGACCTACCCAATTATGGAACGGAGCATACTGCTTCTGTTTTCACCTTTCAGCCCCAATGAAGGAACTGTCACAGGCAGTCGCTTTCACAACAAACTATTTGTGTTGGTAAAACAAAAATTCAGTATGCTTGGACTGTCGCCTATTATTTGTCTTCCAGAGCAGGGGTCCCCAAATCCACACACACACCCCCGGGCCACGGCTCACTACTGGGTTGTGAGATTTTCAGAACCAGACCATGGAAGTGATGTGCACACACAGGCCCAGTTAGGTGAGCAGGTATGTGCATGCTCCATTTGCAGGCGCAAATGCCTACCACTGATACAAATGGATGTGCACTTGCCAGCTGCTGTTGTGGATCCATCCCCTCTCCTCCCCCCCCCCCCCTGATGTTCTGCATAGCCGGAAAGATTGGGGAGTTCTGTTCCAGAGTTCCCAGAATTCTCAGATACCATACGTAAAAGTACTGGGGATGCTTGGAGTTATAGTCTCAATACATCTGGGTTGAGGAAGTTTGTTATGTTGACATTAGTCTGAATTATGGCAATTGGGGATTGGAATTTTGGTTGCTAAGTGATGCTGTTGAAAGTGTGGTCTCATATAATTGCAACAGTAATTTACCAGTCTCTAGTGTCATCATGACCTCAACATCAAGCAGATTAAGTGAAGACCCATCTGATTGCTACGTGGGAAGAAGCAAACAGTTCCATGTCAGCAGGGCTTTGGTGGGCATATGGGCACTACAAAGCATGGATGGGTACTGTGGGCAGGCACTATGAAGCATGGGCAGGCGAAACAGCTGTGGGAGTGACCTGCAACCACCTGCCAGTTTCCATATTGGCTCTGCTTTTGGGAAACTGGCAGGGAAAGTTGAAAATTCTGATTGACTGTAGGATGCTGCAGCGATCATAGTTGAAAGGTGGTTACCAAGTGTCTAATCTTGATCACATGACCACAGACACTGCAACAGCCTCACCGTGGGAGGGCCAGTTGTAGGTATCCCTTGTTAGGTACCGTTGTAACTTTGGTCACTGAATAAGTGGTCCTAACTTAAAGACCATAATCATTACATTTATGCATAGCAGCTATAAAGGTATTCCGTGCTGGTTGGCACCATTAGAGGCCTTAACGCATCTGAGTGTATTTAATTGAACAAGAAATGTAACATATAAAGACATCATGACAGAAGATGGCAACATGAAAACAAAGATGNCCTTGAAAGACTTTGCTGGATGTAAATGAGCAGAATTCACAGCCAATTAATAAAAGGGTTTTTTGTCAGGGCCAGAAGTTTGCTTCATGCTCTTGGGAAGCCTCAGCCAGAACATTGACACCCTTGGTCTACAATGTTTTGAGACATTCCTCTGCAAGTGGGCTTTGACTTACAACACCAATTTAGGCCATTGCTAAGCAAGGTGGTTGTAAGTGAGTTGCACCTGATTTTATGATTTATTTTTTTGCCATAGTTGTTAAATGAATCACTGCAGTTATTAAGTGAATCATACAGTCAATCAGTAAGTTTGGCATTTCCCTTTGACTTTTGCTTGTTAAAAGAAGGTCAGAAATGGTGATCACACACCCCAGGATGCCACAACTGTCATTAATACATGCCAATTGGCAAGCGCTCAAATTTTAACCACATGACCTTGGGACTCTCTTGACAGTCACAAGTCTGAGAACTAGTTAAAAGTCACTTTTTTCAGTGCTGTTGTAACTTCAAACTCTCACTAAAGAAATGTTGTAAATCAAAGATTACTTGTAATTTCTTCCAGCAACGAATTTATGATGTAGTATTGGGTTTTTTTTTCAACACCCATTTATCCTTTTTCTTCCCCTTCCTCCCCAGCTGTGCAGTAAAGTAAAATAAGCTCAGACATCACAATTGGAATAGCCAAGAAGTTGACATCAGTTTATGTTTTATAGTTTCTCTTCCTAAGAAACTATATTTCTTCCTATTTGTGCAGCAGAGTTAAAGACCAAAGGATGTGTATAATTTCTAGCTGCCAATGGGAGCTATCCAAAATTTTGTGAAAAAAAGAAGGTAGTAAAAATTCCAAAGCAATTTCAGTAGATCCTTTTGCTTTTATATTACTTTTCAGTTGGCAATGGATGTTTCTATGTATGATGCAGAAGGTGTATAAAGGGTTCTACCACAAAATCGCGGTCGACGAAAGCGCGTATGTGACGTCATCACA